CTGAGCTCGTGGGTAAGGATCCTCTTTGTCAACTCTGGAGTGAGACCAATCACCACCGGTGCTCCGCTGGAGTGACGTTTAACCTGCACAGGGAGGGATGCACAGGCACGCCGTAGATTGTCCGGTGATGCAGGGAGCACGAGCCCCTGGCACGTGTGGACGTCGACGCAGGGCCCAGCCATGTGCGAGGCCCACGGAAGCAGGATGGAGGTGCGCAGGGCCTGCTCGGCGGTGGTAAGGAGTGCAACAAGGTCGTCCACGTAGGTGGGGCATCTGTCCCCGGTGGCAGCAGAAGTTGCCTCAATGACGGGGTCGTATGCCATGCACCATGTGAGGGGGGAGGCGGTGCCTCCCATGCCGATGGACCGCAGTAGTCGCATCCTTGGTCCGGCGTAGGTGCTTTTGCACGTCCGCACGTGTCTATGCTCGATGAGGGCCATGAGGGCGTGCCTGAGCCAGGTTGGGAGCCTCCAGCGCCGTAGTAACTCCTCTACCCACTGTAGGGACAGTCTCTCGAACGCTTTGCTCTGGTTGGCGAATACGTCGCCGTGGCAGTGGACGGTGAAGCCTCCGCCACTGTTTCCCTGATGTAGGTGTCTACCAGAGGACCGTAGTCTCCCAAGAAGGGATGCCAGGCAGCGCCAGGAGGGGGGTTGAGGGCGGGCGCTTTGCCGAGGTGGTCAGAAGCTGCAGTGATGTTGGGCCCGCATTGTCCACCTCTCTTGGCTGCCTGATCTCCTGAGAGCTGAGGTTCGATCAGTGGCCCAAGCAGATCCGCCAGGGATGCGCCGAATAGGCGACGCATGCAGGTAGGCAACTGTAGGGGGCGCAGGTCGTTGGGGCGCTCGGCGTCAGGGATCTTCAATATCCACACTAGGAGGGCAACGGGAGACCTTTGCAGACACGGTGGGTCGACTGGGTTGGCTTTGGCAGGATCACCATCATCATCATCATCATCATCATCATCATCATCATCATCATCATCATCAGCAGCAGCAGCAGCAGCAGCAACATCTTCATCCTCATCATCATCATCCTCCGAAACATCGTCACCACACCCAACATCAACACCATCATCATCATCATCATCATCATCATCATCATCAGCAACAATCAGCATCAACATCATCATCATTAGCATCATCATTATCGTCATCATCATGGTCACCCTCATCCTACACATCCCACCCCCCAAACCCTTGCTTCCTTCTATCGTTGATCCTGGTCCGGCACTTTTTCCCTACCTAGGCTCTGCCTAGAAGGGTTCTTACTGTGTGTGCTTAAAGGGCCGGGCAGTGGAAAACGCCCTGGGCGGTCCCCCCGGCATCCGCCCCGCGGTTCCCCCAGTTAGGTCTCCTTAGCTTAGCGTTGCTTATCTCATCTTAGCTCTTAGCTTAGCTTATTTCATCTTACCATAGCTTAGCTTCATCTTAGCCCATGTTGATTCCCTACCTAGGCTCTGCCTAGAAAGGTTATTCTGTGTGTGCTTAAAGGGCCGGGCAGTGGATACCGCCCCGGGCGGTTCCCCCGGCATCCACCCCGCGGTTCCCCCGGTATCCGCCCCCTGGGCTCACCCAGCTTAGCTTAGCCAAGCTAAGTTCAGCTTAGCTTAGCATAGCTTAGCTTAGCTTAGCTTATCTCATCTTAGCTTAGCTTAGCTTAGCCTTGCCTAGCCTAGCTTAGCGTAGCTTAGCTTAGCTCATCTCATCCTAGCTTAGCTTAGCTCAGCTTAGCTTAGCTTAGCATAGCTTAGCTGACCTTAGCTTAGCTTAGCGCAGCGCAGCATAGCGCAGCGCAGCATTAGCACAGCATAGTATAGCATAGCATAGCCAAGCATAGCATGGCATAGCATAGTATTGTTTAGCATAGCACAGCGCAGCATAGCATAGCATAGCACAGCATAGCATAGCATAGCATAGCGCAGCATAGCATAGCATGTTGATGTAGATGTAGATGCAGGTGTAGATGTAAATGTAGCTGTCGGTGTAGATGTAGATGTTGCTTCCCTAAATGCTCCAACTCCTAGGTAGGGTCGAACTGGGATAATTGCAGTTTCTACTCTCTCATTCACAGTCTCCAACGCCTCCCGAGTCCTCCCACATCCACCCCCTGCTCCCCCTTCTCCTCCTCCTCCTCCTTCCCATCATCATCATCATCATCATCATCATCATCATCATCATCATCATCATCATCATCATCATCATCATCATCATCATCATCATGATCATCATCATCATCATCAGCAGCAGCAGCAGCGGCGGCATCATCATCATCAGCATCAGCAGCATGGTCATCATCATCATCATCATCACCATCATCATCAGTATCAGCATCAGCAACATCAGCATCAGCTTGGTCATCATCATCACCATCATCATCAACATCATCATCATCCGCATCATCGTCGTCACCATCATCAGTTTGATCCGCATCATCATCATCATCGCCAACATGATCATTATCATAAGCATCAATATCATCATCAATATCATCATCATCATCATCATCATCATCATCATCACCACCACCACCACCATAATCATGAGCAGCAGCAGCAACATCCATAGCCATCTCGGCTCAAACCAATTTGGCTCAAACCATATTGTCTCAAGCCATTTTGACCCAAGGACTGGGGGGCTTCTCGAGAGCGGATAAAATGAGGTATTTCCAGTTCGTGCTCCCGCGAACCGATTCTCCCTCCCTCGGGCATCGCCGGGTGGCCCTCGCGCGCTGGGGCGCACGAGGGCATTCCTCTTCCCCCTCCTCCTCCTCCTCCTCCTCAGCATCAGCAGCAGCAGCATCATCATCAGAATCATCACCATCATCATCACCATCATCATCATCATCATCATCATCATCATCATCATCATCATCAGCAGCAGCATCAGCACCAGCATCATCATCATCACCATCACCATCAGCATCAGCATCAGCAGCAGCATCATCATAATCAGCACCATCATCATCATCATCATCATCATCATCATCATCATCATCAGCATCAACATCATCATCATCATCATCATCAGCATCATCAATATCATCACCATCATCGTAATCATAGTAATCATCATCAGAATCCTCTTCATCCTCATCCTTATCCTCATCCTCATCATCCTCTTCTTTATCGTGATCATCCTTATCATCATCATCACTTTCCTCCTCGTCCTCCTCCTCCTCCTCCTGTGCATGATCACCCTGCTCGTCTTCCCCTTTTTGCTCCTCCGCCTCCTCCTCATCAGCATCACCACAACCACTGGCATCATCACCATCGCCACCACCATCACCATTCCACCATCATCATCAGCAGCAGAGTCATCCTCAATACCAGAATCGTGTGTCAGTCTCATTACCCAGCATCCTAATCATCCTCCTCATCATAATCATCCTCATCCTCCTCCTCCTCATCATCATCACCACCATCAACAGCTACAACAACATTATTATCGGCATCGGCATCCTCATCCCCATTATCATCCTAATCTTCATACTCATCATCAGCACTAGCCGCATCATCACCATCCTTCTCCTCCTCCTCCTCGTCATCCTACTCCTCGTCGTTGTCGTCCTCGTCGTCGTCGTGATCATCATCAGCATCAGCATCACCAGAACCAGAACCACCGTCCTCAACACCACCATCATCATCACCATCACCACCATCACCACGACCACCACCACCATCACCATCGTCACCATCACCATCGTCATCATCATCATGATCATGATCATCATGATCATCATCATCATCATCATCATCATCATCATCATCATCATCATCATCATCATCATCATAATCATCATCATCATCATCATCATCATCATCATCATCAGCAGCATCATCATCATCATCATCATCATCATCATCATCATCATCATCATCATCATCATCATCGTCATCATCGTCATCAGCATCATCATCAGCATCATCATCAGCATAATCATCATCAGCAGCATAATCATCATCAGCATCAGCCGCAGCTCAGCATCAGCATCAGCATCACCATCGCCATCATCATCATCACCACCACCATCACCATCAGCATCACCATCATCATCACCATCACCATCACCATCATCAGCATCATCATCATCATCGTCATCAACCCCCTACCATGTTCCTCCATCCATTCCCCAGCATCCTCCTCCCTTCCTTGGACGAGCTCTTGCCGTGCGGAGCGTCCGCGCCGACAGTGAAGTGGAGCATGGACGTGCGGGATGCACAGCGCCGCTCGCCCCCTCATTCTGACGAGGAGGGAAGGCAAGGCGGCAGGAATCAGGAGAAGGCGGCAGGAGTCAGGAGAAGGGGGGAGGAGGAGGAGGAGGAGGAGGAGGAGGAGGAGGAGGAGGAGGAGGAGGAGGAGGAGGAGGGGGAGGAATAGGAGGTGAAGAAGGAAGAGACACAAGGCAGCCCAGGTCGTGGAATGGGGTCTGCGGGCCAGTGGGAGTCGCGGTACTAGTCGGGTTAAACTGAGCCCGAGTGACGGGTTGGACTGAGCCCGAGTGCTGCTGCTCTGAAGGACCACAGCGGCGCCGACGCGCTCCTCGCGCTTGCTGGCCCTGCCATGCTCTGAGGCATTGGCCGATGAGCTGTGGTTCGGCCTCTGGAAGCCAGGGCTGCCGAGCGCGTGTTGGCACGGAGCGGTCCCGGGCTGGAGGGCGGCCGAATGGGGTCGACATAGATGGGGTCGGAGGAGCACGCCGCAACAATGGCATGGCAGATGCATCGGCGATACGTCGGCGACGTCGGCGAAGCACGAGACGTCGGCACGGAGAAAATCAGACTCCACGTCGAGCCGCGTCGCCGATGCAGCGGCTAGTCGGTGCGATCCATGACCCCATCTGCCTCGGCCCCACTTCGGAGATCGAGAAACCCTAACCCTCTTGAAAAATCCATTTACATACTTTTCACTCTCGGACTCAGGGCCCCTTTCTCCGTCGATGGGCCGAGGTCGGCTTCGTCTTGCCAGCCGTCGCAGCACCTCCCCCCACGCCCTCCGGACTTCAGCATCCGGTCAAAGCTGCACCCGTCGATGCCCATCCGAAGGATCCTGTCCTCGCGAGCGGGGCGCGAGCGCGCGCGAGCCACGACCAGCAGGCGCGTCCCGCGGCACCTGTCCCGAAGCAGGATAAGCAGAGAAGCGGCAGACGAGGAAGGGGAAGACTAGATTCCGACAGGGGCCCAGGTCGCCTGGCTACGCGCTTCGCGCCGTGCGAGGCGCGAGACGCGGATCTTGTCAAGGCTGTAGCCAACCCTGACAGGATCCGATTAGGGCTGCAAGCAGCTCCATCAGGATCCTACTAGAGCTGGCTACAACCTTAATGGGGGCTTATTACGGCTGAAGGCAGCTCCAGTAGGACCCTGCTCACCGTAGCTACGGAACTACTTGGATCCTTTTAGAGCTGCTGTATAACTACTAGGACCCGACTACAACTGGGAACGTGCCGCGGTGAGCGCCGAATGGCGCCACCAGACAGACCTTGAGATGGGCGTGCCGCGGTGAGCGCCGAGTGGCGCCACCAGTCCGGCCTTGAGACAGGCGTGGGACGAGCACGGCTTCCCGGAATGAAGCAGACGGCGAAGTCACAGTCCGCGAGACGATTCGAGGATCCCCAGAAAGCAGCAGACGGCGAAGCCACAGCCGAGTGGAAGATCCAGAACAGCGCAAGCCTAATTGGGGAACGCGCTGCGTAGGTGTCCAAGCCGTGTGGCCGATGCAAGCGGGCGCAGGCCTAATTGGGCCAGACTGCGCACCGCGGACCGGCCACATAGCTGCGGTTCGTCGGCCGCCTTCGTCTCGCCCACGGAGATAAATCGCACCCTCTTTGCAAATCCCTCGTGGGAACTCCGGGGCCTCTGGGGCCTCAGGGGACCTCCCCACAGTGTTTTGTGTGTGTGCGTGTGTCTGTCTGTGTCTGTGTCTGCGTCTGTGTCTATGTCTGTCTGTGTCTGTGACTGTGACTGTGTCTGTGTCTGTGTGTCTGTGTGTCTGCGTGTGTCGTGGAGTTATGCTGGGGCTCCTCGGCCGTCTCGGCGTCCTCTTGGGCTGTCTTGGGGCCCTCTTGGGCCGTCTGAAGGCCTCTTGGGGCGCTCTGGGGAATGGATTGGCACCCCTTCGGCGACCTTTGGAAACCGTTGCTAGGTTTTTTCGGGGCCTCCTGGGGCAGCCCAGAAGCCCTCCAGAGGCGATGCCGAGACGAGGGCCCCACTCCAGAGCATGAAGCTAGGAAGTATCGAGCGGGAGCGTTGCGCGATAGCGCCTCTCCTGAGCCAAAAGTTGAAGCAACAGCACTGGTTTTGTGTCGGAGGACTCGTGCTCGGCTGCGAGCAAGAGCGCCAGTCCTGAAATGAAACGTGGGGAGATATCGGGCGGGAGCGTTGTTACTGTAGGGGGGCGGAGTGCAACGCCGAGGCGAGAGCGGCCCTGCAGGGCAAGAAACGACGAAATGTCGAGCGGGAGGGCTGTGTCTCTGGAGGACCCGTTTTCGACGGCAAGCAGTAACACCACTCTGGAGTAAAAAGCGAAGCAGTATTGAGCGGTAGCGTTACCGTTGTGGGGAGGTTTGTTTGCGACGCCGAGGCGCGATCGGCACTCCTTAGTAAAAAGCGAGGACACATCGAGCGGGAGCGTTGCTTCTGTTGAAGAAACGGTTTTCGGCTACGAGAGAGTGAGCCCCAGTCTAAAGTAAAAAAGGAGGACGTATCGAGCGGGAGCGTTGTTGCTGCATGCGGGCCGGTTTGGGTGCAAGCCCGAAATGCTCGATCGTGAGCCTTGCTTTCAGAGGAAATGCAGCTGGCGCCTAGACGAGAGCGTCAGGGCAAGCAGGGGGTGTCGAACCATACTGAGTGCATCAAACAGCATCATCATCGTCGTCATCGTCATCATCAAATCCGCCACAGTCATCATCATCATCATCATCATCATCATCATCACCACCACCACCACCACCACCACCACCACCACCACCAACAACACACCATCATCATCATCATCATCATCAGCAGCAGCAGCATCATCAGCAGCATCAGCATCAGCATCAGCATTATCATCATCACCACCATCGTCATCGCCATCACCATACATGCCCTTGTCGTCTTCATCACCGCCACACCTCTCATGCTCGTCGTCGCAAACATCGAATCGGTACTGAAGGCCCACGCACGTAGGTGCTGCACTGACAGCGCTGGTCAAAGTCAGGGCCGCGCTACAGGCAAGGTGAGAGGCTGCTCCTCTGCGTTCGCCTCAAAACTTCCTCGTGATGAGTTCTGATCTTACCCCTTCTCGTTCAACTAGCAAGTCGTCCCCCATACTCAATCATTTCCATGTGCTCTCAAACACGGAGCAGATTTCCATTGCTTGCAATCCTTCGTGTATCCATGGTCTGTCCTGAAGCGCTTTCGCAGTCACGTTCGACGGCAGTTGAGATCAGAAGGATCGCAAGTGCTGAATCCTTATGTCCCTCCTCCGCTCCTCCTTCGTACTGTTCCACATGCCCTCCACAGCCTCTCCTGGAGGTCACGCAGGATCTGGCCCTTCACGCCATTCGCGGCCTGAACCCCATCCCATGATGCGGAAGGATTCGCAGCAGAGACAAGATGGAGTAAAGGGGGAAGAGGGAGAAAAGGAGGTAGGTACAATCAGGTCGTGGATCACGGATAGGGTGGAGGTGATGGAGGGCGGGAGGGAAGGGGGGAAGGGGAGGGAGGAGGGGTGGGGAAGCCGAAGAAGTGTTCAGCACCAGCACCAGCAGCACTTCCCCCAGAGGCCAGGGTGCGGGCTGAAGTGCACCCGAACCTCACGACACTCGGGCCCGCGCCACTGCCAAAGCTATTGCACAGCTCGTGGCGCCACCCTCTCAATACCATGTCGTTGACGCTTGAACCGGCCGAACTTGGCCAGTGCGCTGCCATGCGGAGGGAGGGGGAGGGGCAGGAAGAGAATATCAAGGGAGTGGGAGGAGGGAGGAGTAGGAGGAGGAGGGACGAGGAGAAGGAGGAGGGAAGAGGAGGAGGAGGAGGAGGAGGGAAGAGGAGAAGGAGGAGGAGGAGGAGGAGGAGCAGCGAGGGACGAGGGACATGTTCGAAGGGGCGAGAGGACTCAGAATCAGTAGCCGCAACCACTTGCAACTGTGACCAAAAACAGCATGCCAATTTGCGGTTACTCAACCTCTCACCCTGGCACCACAAATTGATAACCTGCTTCCGCAGCACCAGGAAACTGGTCTGTCTGTCTCTCTCTTTCTCTCTCTCTCTCTCTCTCTCTCACTCTCTCCCCCTCACTCTCGGATTATTCGCGCTGCCGATCCTGCCTCGCCCATCGGATTGCCGCGCCAGGGCATTGAAACTGGCAAAGAAGGAGCTATTCGATTCAGATCAAGCTGCGGGAAGCGGAGCCCATAACAGCGGCCAGCAGCAGGAAGGCCTGGCCCTGGCTTCAAATCGAGCCCCCGCCGACGGCCCCTGCGCTGGCCCTGCCTGAGACGGAAGCGCCTATACAGAGCCAGGAGCGCAGCGCAGCTGGGCCAGCGCAAGCCCAGGCCCACTGCAGGCTGCAGCCAGGCCTCCTCCAGGCCGAGCCCCCCTGTGCACAGACGCCCCACATCGCACGCTGAAGAGACCCCTCGGCTGCGACCGCCCATGCCGCATGCCAGCCTGAAGCCACCGCCGCATCTATCCCCCCCTGGCCGTGCGCATCCCAGTCATCCGACAACACAACTGTTTCAACGCGCGGCCCCACAGTTCGACCCCTTCACCAGGGCCAGATTTTCGCCACGGATCCATTTCGGACGGTCCTGGGACCCGAGACCCCAGACATGGGCCCGAACCCGAAATCGAAGAAAGCACCTGGATAAAAAAACAGCTTTTCGGAGATCTGAAACCCTCAAACGCACTCTGGCGCACCCCGCCAGCAGAGCCTCGCCGCCCCACCCCCGCGCGCGCCACCCGCGGCAGGCCCCAGGCCTGGCCAAGCTGAGAACGTGAATGACGTCAGGATACGTTCCAGGAGTGCCAGAGTGTCTACGCAGCGGCCCTCGTTTCTGGAGCCCCCGCGGACCCCCTGTTGGTCTCCAGGGGTGCGAGATTCTTCCCCCCCCCATAATTCCCCCCCCTGGGACCCAAAACTGGGAATTCGACCCCCCCCCGGCCCTGGGTGGGTGCCCCCCGCACGTGCGCATCACGGGGGCATACAAGACCCCAAAACGGGCCAAGAATGCCCCAAGAGCCCCCAAGACGGTCCAAAAGAGCCCCAAGTCGCCGAATGATTTTTCGAAGACGCCAAAGATTCCTTCCAAACGGCCCAAGATGACCCGAAGATGCTCGAATAGGCCCCCGACGCTGGTTTCTGACACCGCAGTGGATGGTTCGACCTTGTCGTGGGCGCCAGGGCACCCATGTCGGGAGCACGCTGGCGTGGATCGAGCGCGCGCCAGATCCACGGATCGGGAAGGCCCCCCCCACCCGAAAAATGATGCCAGTGCCGCCTCAGTTGGCGGCGGAGCGTGCCGATTTCGCATGGAAACAGGGCCCGCCGCTGATCCACGTGCCTCAGTCCATGTTCCCGTTGGCCCGACCCATACCAGCGGACGGAGCAACGCGACCCGCCTGCCACCCGTGGCGGGCAGCGCACCGTGCCATGACCAAAGCGTCCGAACTAACGATGGCCAACAGGAAGTGTTGGTCCAAACCCAAGAGGAGGGAGAACGTTCGGGGGGGAACTGGTTCGGGGGGGGGCGGAAACATCGACCTGGAACCGGCGATACATGGCCAGGCCCCTGATGGCAAATCCATGGTCCTGGGCGGGGCGGGCTATCAGGCCCTTATCGGCGATCAGTGGGCGATCGGAGGTCGAGGCATCCCCCCTTAGCCTGTCCCCCTTACGTTGCCCTTGACGAAAGCGGCCACTGTTGGGCAGGCGACCTTTCGTCCCAAGTGAGATGGACGGCGTCCGCGGCGAATCGAGTCCTGTCAGAATGGGCAGGGACTGCTGCTGGTCTTCGCCCGCACCCTTTCCGTGCCCACCAAGAGAAGAAATGACGGCACAAGCGTAAACTCTCGAAGGTTATCGCGAAGTGCTTGGACTGGCGCTCGACCCCGCTGCCGACAGTTCAACCTTGAACGATCGGCGGCTTTCCGATGGCGCGAATCATTCGATATCGAACGATTCCAGGCCACTGGCCACGTTCAACCTGGAACGCCCGCGCCGGGGTCGTCGCCGCGTCGGCACGACACGAACCTCACCAGACTTGAGCCTCTTCACCTTCCCCCCTTCCCGCTTGGCTCAGCCCCGCTCCGTTCCGCTGCATACATCCCACCCGCAGTCCCGCGTCCCCTCCCTGCATTCCTCTCCTACCTATCGCCTCGCTCTCGCCGTGGAGAGGAAGGAGGAAGAGGAGCAGAAGAAGGAGGAAGAGGAGGATGAGGATGAGGAGAAGGAGAGGGAGGGAGAGAAGGAAGAAGACGACGACGACGACGACGACGTAAGACTCGAGTTGGAGACTCGGATTTGCCTGACGGGGCTGGCAGAAAAATGGTAGAAAATGGTTTGAAATTTGACGCGATCTCCCCCTGCGGCCCGTCAAACTCACGCCAGGACCGTCAAATAACGGAAACTAATCCGAGTTCTGGCAAACTTGAGTCGACTCGAGTTGGCCAGAAATCGGGCTTGTGGAAAACAAGAAGACGCGCTCATGTGTAAACCGCAATGACAGATCCACGCAGGAAGATTGACGCGGAAACCACAAACTCTCGCTGCATGGACAGCACAACGTCTGGCAATTGGTGTGCTTGCGCTAATGAAGACTCTTACGTTTCCCCGACATGTCCACGCACCCGAATCCCACCAATGATGAACACCACTGGGACGTCTCCTGCGGGGACATCTGCCGCACGGTGGTCATGACCAGTGACACGCCTCGGCCGGCATCCTCTCTGTGCTCCTCCTCTACCTCTTCACTTCTCACCTCATCCCCATGTTCCTCCTCCTCGTTCTCGACCTCCTTGTCCATTTCTCCCCTTCATCTATCCATCCCTCGCCCTCGTCCTCCCCCTCCTCCTCCTCATCATCCTCATCCTCCTCCTCTTATGATGATGATGATGATGATGATGATGATGATGATGATGATGATGATGATGATGATTGGTGTTATCAGTCGTATCATTAGAATGTTTCTTATTTACATTGGTATGGTCATTATTATCCATAGTACTAGCTTGTGGCTCCTTTTGTTTAGTAGTCTGGCTTCGATGTGTACCCTTCTAAGTGTTAGTATTAATATGTGTCGTCGCCTAAGTATTATGTGTAGTATTCCCCCGAATATATATATATATATAATAAATATAGATATAAATATACTAGAACCATCGCGCGCGCTTCGCGCGCGCTCAGGTTCTAGCCCAGGCCGGGGGGGCGCTGGACGATCTTGGACAACGCTATCAAGCACAGGCGCGCGACGGCATCTGAGGAGTTTCTGGGGTGTTCCGCATGCTTTGTCAACTGGCTGTTGGAGGCACCTCTTGGGTGCCTCTTGGGGGGGGGCGTCTGAGGGTCCCTTGGGGGCATCGGTTCTGTAATCTGAAGCCGTCATTGGCCGTCCTTGCTGCGTGGAGGCCCGACTTGAGGCCACCTGCGGCCAGATTGAGGCAATCCGGAAGCCTCCCGGGGGCCTCCTGGAAGCAGTTTTGACGCATCGAGGGCACTCTTGGGCTATTTTGAAACCTCTTGGACGTCTCCTGGGGGCCTTTTGGGCCCTCGGGAAGCTTTTGGGGTCCTCTTGCGGCCTCATGTGGGCCTTTTGGGGGCAACGCTCTGCTGTTGGGTCGCGCTCCCCGTCTTGGGCCTCTCTTGGGGCTCTTGGGGCCCTCTCGGGCCGTCTTGGGCACCTCAAGCACCGTCTCGGGGCCCTCGCGGGCCGTCTTGGGGCCCTCTTGGAGGCCTCTTCCTCTATATTGGAGCGGTATTGGAAGCCTCTTGGGCCGTCTTGGAGCATCGGGATGCCAAAAGGCCGAAAAAATTCAAACCCGTCAAAGCCCAATCGTAAAACAATGAGTTGTGCCTCTTGGGGCCACCTTGGGAGATCTCTTGGAACCTCGTCGGCCCTCTTGGGAGCTTCTTGGGGGGCCTCTTGGGACTTCCCGAGAACCTCTCGGGGTAGAAAGCTCGGATTCTCAGTTCGTGTTTCCCTTCTTGGGCCTCTCTTGGGGCCGTCTTGGGGCCCTCTCGGGCCTTCTTGGGCGCCTCAGGCACCGCCTTGGGGCCCTCGTGGGCCGCCCAGGGCCCTCTTGGAAGCCTCTTCGGCTATCTTGGAGCTGTCTTGGAGGCCTCTTCCTCCTCCTCGTCCCCCTCCTCCTCCTCCCACTCCAGCTCTCTCTCCTCCTGATCTTCCTCCTCCCCCTGCAGCGTGTTCCGGAAGGCTCCCGCCGGAACATGCTGTGCACAAGTGCTGTCACTGCTCCCGCCACAGTGCCCTGGGTGGTGGGTCAGAGGCCTCATGGGTGTTGGTTTGGATCTCGTGGTTGGCCTGTCGGGGACGTCGTGAAGGTAGTTTCGCAGCTTCTCGGTAGCCGTTTTGGGACCGTTGTGGGGCCTCCTCGGGGCTGTTTTGTGCCCTCTTTAGACCTCGTTTGGGCCTCCTGGGTGCCTCTTGGGGGCCTCCTGGGGCCTCTTGGGGGCTCCTTGGGGCCTCCTGGGGCACTCTTCAAGCGGGAGGATCGAATATTGGAGTCGTGGTCCCCCTCTTGGGCACATCTTGGGGCTGCCTTGGGGCTCTGTTGGGCTGTCTTGGGCGACTCTGGGGCCGTCTTGGGGTCCTCTTGGGCCGTCTTGGGGCGCTCTTGGGGGCCTATTGAGCCGTCTTGGAACGTCGGACAGCCGAAAAGGCTGGAAGGCCCAAATCGTTCGAAAACCTCAGTAAAATTAACGATTTCGGCCTCTTGAAGCGCTGTGGAGAGGCGTCTTGAAGCGTCGTGGAGTGTCTTGGGGGGCCTCTCGGGCCGTCTTGGGCCTATCTTGGGCGTCCTGGAGCGGTCTTTCGGCGACTCGGGGCCCGCTTGGGCCGTCTTGGGAGCCTCTGGAGGCCCTCCTGAACTATTTTGGACCTCCCCGGCCGCCCCGTCCTCCCACCGGGGGTCGGAGGCGGCGGCCTCCGAGGCCCAGGACGCGGAAACCCTTTAAAAACACATGGAACATGAGCCCCAATACTCCCATGCCCCCTCGGGGCAGCCGCCCTGGGCGCCCGGGCGTCGTGCACGTCTGCGGCCAGATTGAGGCAATCCGGAAGCCTCCCGGGGGCCTCCTGGAAGCAGTTTTGACGCATCGAGCGCACTCTTGGGCTATTTTGGAACCTCTTGGACGTCTCCTGGGGGCCTTTTGGGCCCTCGGGAAGCTTTTGGGGTCCTCTTGCGGCCTCATGTGGGCCTTTTGGGGGGAACGCTCTGCTGTTGGGTCGCGTTCCCCGTCTTGGGCCTCTCTTGGGGCTCTTGGGGCCCTCTCGGGCCGTCTTGGGCGCCTCAAGCACCGTCTTGGGGCCCTCGCGGGCCGTCTTGGGGCCCTCTTGGAGGCCTCTTCCTCTATATGGGAGCGGTATTGGAAGCCTCTTGGGCCGTCTTGGAGCATCGGGATGCCAAAAGGCCGAAAAATTAAAACCCGTCAAAGCCCAATCGTAAAACAATGAGTTGTGCCTCTTGGGGCCACCTTGGGAGATCTCTTGGAACCTCGTCGGCCCTCTTGGGAGCTTCTTGGGGGCCTCTTGGATCCGATTGGGGGCCTCTTGGGACTTCCCGAGAACCTCTCGGGGTAGAAAGCTCGGATTCTCAGTTCGTGTTTCCCTTCTTGGGCCTCTCTTGGGGCCGTCTTGGGGCCCTCTCGGGCCTTCTTGGGCGCCTCAGGCACCGCCTTGGGGCCCTCGTGGGCCGCCCAGGCCCTCTTGGAAGCCTCTTCGGCTATCTTGGAGCTGTCTTGGAGGCCTCTTCCTCCTCCTCGTCCCCCTCCTCCTCCTCCCACTCCAGCTCTCTCTCCTCCTGATCTTCCTCCTCCCCCTGCAGCGTGTTCCGGAAGGCTCCCGCCGGAACATGCTGTGCACAAGTGCTGTCACTGCTCCCGCCACAGTGCCCTGGGTGGTGGGTCAGAGGCCTCATGGGTGTTGGTTTGGATCTCGTGGTTGGCCTGTCGGGACGTCGTGAAGGCAGTTTCGCAGCTTCTCGGTAGCCGTTTTGGGACTGTTGTGGGGCCTCCTCGGGGCTGTTTTGTGCCTCTTTAGGCCTCGTTTGGGCCTCCTGGGTGCCTCATGGGGGCCTCCTGGGGCCTCTTGGGGGCTCCTTGGGGCCTCCTGGGGCACTCTTCAAGCGGGAGGGGCGAGGCTGGGGGCCCCAGGACAGGTGCCTCGACCCCCCATGGCGGGACGGGGGGGGGCCTGGAGCCTCCCGGGAGCAGCCCAGGCGGCCCAAGAGTGCCCCAAGAGCGCTCCACGACAGGCCCAGCAGGCTCCAAGAGGCCCAAGAGGGCGCCAAGAGGGCCCCAAGATGCCCAAGATAAGCCCAAGACGGCCAAAGAGGCCCCCAAGACGCTCCAAGAGGCCTCCAAGAGGCCCCCCCAGAGGGCCCCAAGAGGCCAAAATCGCTTATTTTACTAAGGTTTTTGGACACATTTTGCCTTTCCCGCCTTTTCAGCTTTGCGACGCTCCACGACGGCTCACAGGCCCCCCGCGGACGCCCCAAGACAGCCCAAGAGGCCTCCAAGAGGGCCTGAAGACGGCTCTGTTGGGCTGTCTTGGGCGACTCTAGGGCCGTCTTGGGGCCCTCTTGGGCCTTCTTGGGGCGCTCTTGGGGGCCTATTGAGCTGTCTTGGAACGTCGGACAGCCGAAAAGGCTGAAAGGCCAAAATCGTTCGAAAACCTCCGTGAAATTGACGATTGCGGCCTCTTGAAGCGCTGTGGAGAGGCGTCTTGAAGCGTCGTGGAATGCCTTTGGGGGTCTCTCGGGCCGTCTGGGGCCTATCTTGGGCGTCCTGGAGCGGTCTTTCGGCGACTCGGGGCCCGCTTGGGCCGTCTTGGGAGCCTCTGGAGGCCCCCCTGGACTATTTTGGACATCCCCGGCCGCCCCGTCCTCCCACGGGGGGTTCCTCGGGGCTGTTTGGGAGCCTCTTGAAGCCTCATTTGGGCCTCCTGGGTGCTTCTTGGGGGTCTCCTGGGGCCTCTTGGGGCCCCTTTGGGGCCTCCCGGGGCCCTGTGGAGGCGGGAGGCTCGAATTTCCGGTTCGCAGTTCCCCTCTTGGAGCCCTCTTGGGGCCGTCTTGGGCCTCTCTTCGCCCGTCTTGGGCGCGTCTTGGGCCGCCTTGGGGCCCTCCACAGCCGTCTTGAGCCCCTCTTGGAGGCCTCTTGGGCCGTCTTGGGGCGTCCGCGGGGGGCCTGTGAGCCGTCGTGGAGCGTCGGTAAGCTGAAAAGGCGGGAAAGACAAATGTGTCCAAAACCATCGTAAAATGAACGAATTTGGCCTCTTGGGGCCCTCCCTCTTGGAGGCATCTTGGAGCGTCTTGGGGGCCTCTTTGGCCGTCTTGGGCTTATCTTGGGAATCTTGGGGCCCTCTTGGCGCCCTCTTGGGCCTCTTGGAGCCTGCTGGGCCTGTCGTGGAGCGCTCTTGGGGCACTCTTGGGCCGCCTGGGCTGCTCCCGGGAGGCTCCAGGCCCCCCCCGTCCCGCCATGGGGGGTGGAGGCACCTGTCCTGGGGCCCCCGGCCTCGCCCCCAGGGATATATATATATATATATATATATATATATATAATATATATATATATATAATTACTAGTATGTGTACTAGTTGACATGTGTACTACCATTGTTAGTAATAGTATGGATGTTATTCCTCGCCGCTCTCATTAGTAATACGATGTGTTTTATTGCTGTACTCTTGGAAGGATCATGAATGTTCCTCCTTCTCCGCCTCCCTTCTCCTCCTTCCTCCTCCCTCCTGGGAGATGAGAACTGGCGACAAGAGCCGTGGCCCAGAGCATGCAGTTTGTGAGAAGTGACATGTGGTGGTCGAATGGGGAAAACAGATAGACAGACTCCTCCTCCTCCTCCTTCTCCTCCTGCTCCTCCGCTCATACCATCATATTCACCGCCACCACCATCATCATCATCATCATAATCATCATCGCCATCAACGTCATCCTCATCAGCATCATCAGCAGCATCTCCCTCCTGACCCTCTCCCGCGAGAAGGGATAAGGATCCACCTCGACCGACCATCTTCCTCAAAAACAACCCTCCCCATGTCGCACCACTAGGGTTGCCTTCAGGGCACACAGGGCGCTTCGCCTGAGGATCCAAGCCGCTTACGACATCGGAGAGTGAAACTCCCAGCAGCTATTTACACGGATGGATGGCGGTTCGTTCTCAAAATGAAGCTCTCGCCTTGGCGCCGCGCACACACGCCATACAACAAAAACAAGCAGTTACGAGGATGGAGGGCGAACCGTTTTCAAATTGGGCGCGCACATTCGTCGCAACAATGATCAAACAGTGATTCGGGTGGGAGGCACATCGTCTTCAGAATGGAACTCGCTTGCGACGTTCGCGAAAAGGTACGCCGCAGCATATGAAGATGCGCGACCGATACACGGACGGAGGGCAGTTCCTTCTCAAAGCGGAGCTCTCGCTTGAGGCTCCGTTTGACTGCGTGGCCAGGTGCGAAAAACTGAGCAACAGCTGCACGGTGGGAGGGCGGCTCCTGTTTCCAGGCGGGGCCGTGGCTGGACCCTTCCTTTTGAAGTGTGTGGCCCGATCTTGTCGCAGTCCTCCTGGCTCGAAGGATGGGGGGCAATCTCTACAAGCAGCTCCCGCCTGAACTGCGGGGCCCTGGGGCGCCCGTCTTTCGGAGGGGGGGGGCGCTTCCTCGCGCAGTGACAACAAGAATGATTGCAGGGACTTCTGAGGGGGCTTGGGACGAAAGGGTGTGTTGCAGCATCGTGGTTACAGATTGAGCTAACTCTGCTCCTCCTCCTCCTCCTCCTCCTCCTCCTGCTCCTCCTCCTCCTCGCTTACTCACTTGTTACAGAAAGGCTCGGGCTCGTTGTCGGAACAATAGAAGTTGGGTGACCTAAAACCTTGTATAGAACGGAGCCTTCGCCCTGGTTCAACTCGCACATATAGAAAATGGAGGAGTAGGGGAACGCAAGGGGGGGCACGCACCGTCGTCATGACGGGCATCCTGGACCAAGAACATCCAACTGGGGCTGGGCCAATCCTGACAGCAGCGACAGCCATCAGGGAATGAGAAGCACCACTCTCTATGGGCGGCTCATGAACAATGGTATCGATGTTGTCGAACATAGTCGCAGGCCATTCCACCTCCGTCTCCTCCACCTCCTCCATCTCATGGACGTTCAAGGCCCTGCTCGGAAAACGGGCCAGGATTCCGCACATAGGGGCCCCATGTCCTGTTCTGACACCCCCGCTCACCCACGCACCCACCTGACAGACTTCCCCAAGAGAACTGACTGATGCAGCTTGCCCAATGCAGTCTCTAATGTAATAGCTTACGCTCAAGATGCGGATGGACATCCTGAACATCCTGGACATCTGTTTACCACCTTCACCTCCTCCCCTTAACGACGACAACCACGACGACCACGACGACGGCGACCACGACGCCGTCGACGGGACCGCCGCCGCCGCCGCCGCCGCCGCCGCCGCCGACGACGACGACGACGACGACGACGACGGGGCAGAGGGGGCCCCGCCTCAGCGGCAGGGGGGAAGGGGAGGCGAGCGGCAAAGGGGTTGAGGGGGAACGTTAAGGAGGGGCCGGCTCAGGGGGGGGGAAACATCAGGCTGGAATCGGCGTTACATTACGGATAGACCCCCATAGCGACACCGCACGCTTCTGGGCAGGGGGTGGGCCATCAAACCCTATCTGCGATGCATGTGTGGTTGGGGGCCGATTGGGCGATCGACGTCCTATCCATACCCCTACCCACGGCCACCCCTCGTGAGGGGCCAGAGTGGGGGCATGGACAAGAATCGTGCCGCAAGAGGCCGTGCTTTCTATCCATACCCTGCCTTCTGGCGCCCAGACTGGGGGGCAGCAGCAGGGGTATGGATCGACCGTCGATCGCCGATCGACGCACTCCCCCCTGAGACTGTCCCCCCCAAGCGTTGCCCCTGAGGGGGGGGGGGGGCGGGGGAAGCGCGGAGTGGCTCTGGGGCCCCCGCGGCCCAGGGGGGCTCGGGCCACTGCGCGGGGGAGGAGCGGAGCGGCGGCGGCCGGACGGCGGGGAGAGGGGCAGGATGAGCAGGGGCGGGGAGACCGGGAAGAGGACTGGGAAGAAGAGAGAGACAGAGAGAGAAAGAGAGACGATACACTAACAAAAAGCGGCACAACAGCAAGAAACGGAGGCACAGAACAGGAGGACAAAACAAGAGCAAGGGCGAGGAGAAGAGGTCAAGAGGAGGAGCAAAAACCGCCGGCGGGCGGCGAGTCAGCGCGGAGCGGCGGCCCACCAAGGGGGGTCGCGGGGCCACTCCAGTGGGCCCCCCTGGCGTCACCATCGGGCTGGCCCAAGACGATTAAAGTACCCCGCACTGTGCCCGAGGTGTGCCCCAACGGTGACCCAAAATTCATGGTCTTTGTTCACACGCGGTGTGTTTTGCCATTGCCTTCCTGGTTTGCCCGATACTCTCGTGGCCCCTGCCCTCGTTTGCTCGATACTTTCCTGGCCATCTACCTTTGTTTGCCCAATACTCTCAAGGCCCCCTCTCAGGGCCCCTCGGGATCCATCTTTGCGACACGAAGCCGTTGAGACACGGTGCCATCACGACGCGCCAAAGCGCTGCACCGACACGAGACTCTCGCAATCCAACGTTCGGATGCTTGGACACGTGCCTGGAATGGACCACTGCGTGCCCAAAACGGAGCCCGTACGGTGCCCAGAATGATGCCTGAATTGGCTGGCCGCGTGCCCACAAATGTGCCCACCAAAAAAATAAATGCTACGCCCAAGAAGATCAGCCCGGTGCCCAAGATTGTGCCCCAAATGGGAACGGGCAAAAAGGCGCGGAACATCCTCGCATCCGAACCGACTCTGGGCACACCACAACTCCGCATTGGGCACCCCTTTGGGCACCATGTCATGCACGGCGCAAAAATACTTGGGTATCGCCAACGGCGGTCGCGAAGGGAAGGGCGCCCGTGAGCTCGATCGGGCACGGACACAAAGCCCCCGGCCCAATGACATGAATCTTCGAACCCACGACGCAGGTCCCTCGGACCAACGACACAGACCGCGGGAACAGCATCGCGGGTCCCCAGGGTCGCAGCGGAGGCCCTGGAGGCAACGATGCAGTCAATCGCTGCTGTTCTCCAATATCACAGCTGCGCGTAGCGTCTGAAGCACGAGGGTGCGCGCCGCACGCCGGACGATCTTTTCGCGCGCACTCTCGGTGCACGTCGTGA